ACCCGTCAACTTAGAAGACAGAATTCACACATAACAATGAGAATACATAAACAGAACCAATTAAAACAAATTATTAGTAGAAGATCCAAAGCTGACCAGCAATTGCTGTGCATGTAATTGAGCAACATTTGTTGGTTCAAGTAAGTAATTCACTGAAATGCTAGGATTGTTATTTTAGCAGAACTTACTATGCAAATGCTTTGTACTAAGCATACTTGGTATTCTATAACAGGTTTGTGTCCTCATGAAAGACAAAGAAATTAATGAGGAAAGCCAACAATCTTTCATTTCAATAATATTCTGTATATACACACATGTGCACTGTTCATATCCACAGTAAGACCTATGTTGCCACATGCAAACTGTTTTTGTTGACAAGGTCTCATGTAGTCATGTACTTACTATGTAGCTGTACATGACCAGCTGAGAATGACCGCCAACTTCTCACAAATGCAGGGATCACAGGGACGAACCATCATGCTCAGAACCATGCGCAAAGTGTTTATCCGCTTTCTCCATGGAAATAGACAGAAAATAGAGCCAAGAGCCATCTGCTTGTCTTGACAAAGGTCACCTGTTGGGATCAGAATGGCTCTGACCCCTCTAAGATTGCCCCCACCTCCCCTGTTTTGAGTGTGCTGAGGTCAGGCTGTTCTGTGGCTGTTTTGTTGTTTGGTATATCTCGTGGTTTGTTAGCTGTGGCTTCCTGGGGCATGCTGACCATTCTTTGACCCTGGGTGCTTGATAAACAATTTTGTTTGTTCCTCCCGAAAGGGTATATAAGATGGGGAAGAAAGAATAAAGCGAGTCCTGATGCTTGCAACTTGACTGGTGGGTGCTGTGTTCATCCCGACTTCCCTCGCCAGGTTTTGGGCCCAATTGCTGTGCAGGCACGGCGGTCACCTTTTCAGGGATGAGTCTAAAAATGATACACACAGACAGAGAGACAGATATACACACATAACCATGAAATACACACAAAATTAATTGAAGAGAAAGAAGAACATATTTCTTTTTGTTGTTTTTTGTTTTCTTTGTTTGTTTGAGGCAGGATCTCATTTTATAGCCCTGGCTGGCCTGGAACTCACTATGTAGACCAGGCTGGCCTTGAACTCACAGAGATCCACCTGCCTCTGCCTGCCAAGTGCTGGGATTAAATGTGTGCCACCATGCCCAGCTTACTTACATCTTTTAACCAACAGAAAAAGCAATATTCATTGTTAAATTGCAAACATTTCTGTACATTTAGAGCAATGAATGTCAGCTAACCAGAGATGAAAGAGGCAATGGCATCTCTAAAAAGCCCACCTCAACGTGGGCGACAGCCCAGGAAAACGACAACCCGGAGCTGTGTGTACAGTTCGCAGGCAGCTCGGCAGGTGCTGGACACATCCTCTGGGCAGCCCAGCCTTCTTCAGGCAGCTTGGCTTGTCAGTCTTCCCCCAGCAGTTGTTAACTACTTGGATAACCCTGGGGAAGGGGCCTGGGGAATCTTGCAACTTTCAGCTTTCACTGAGGTGTGAATATATATTACCTCTGGAGTCTCATAAGCCTCCGCCTTCCCTCCCTTCTGGAGGGAGTGCTTTAATTCAGAGGAAATTGCTGTACAAAGCACGGGTTTAAGTGGACTAGAAGGTTCATGGGAAGTGAGAGCTCTATGGTCAGTGGCAAATATGTGCTCAGACGAAGGGAGAGATACTAGAGCAAGGATGAGGTTGGTGAACCCAAGTAAATAGGATTTGAAAATGCAAAATTTGAGAGATAGAGCAGTCTGGTGTCTCCTATCTTTTGTCATCACAGCATGATATTGTCACATATAAAATTCATGCTTGAGAACCACATAATTGAGTGATAAAAAGAATCACAAAGTATCTTTTAAGCAAATTTATGACTTTAATGTTTGGTTTCATTCCAAGCTATTCCCCAACCATGTGGCTTATGGGCTGAAGATCTGGGCACACCTGGCAGATTTTTCTAGAGTATGTTACCCTGAGAATGGGTGCATACAACAGAAGTAAAGGCTGTTTGGTAGCTAGGGAGATAGCTACGTTGGTAAAGGGCTTGCACTGCAAGCCCGAGGACCCGAGTTTGAGGCCTGGAATCCAAGTAAACCAGCTGGGTGTGATGGCTGCCAGCTTGTCATTCCAGGCTGGTAGGAGGATCTCTGAGGCTTTCCAGCTAGCCAGCTTAGACTAATTGGTGAACTTGGATGTCCTAGTTAGGCTTTCTATTGCTGTGATGAAACACCATGACCAAAAAGCACACTGGGGAGGAAGGGTTTATTTGGCTTCCACTTCCACTTCCACATCATACTCCATCATGGAAGGAATTCAGGACAGGAACTCAAACAGGGCAGGAACCTGGAGGCAGGAGCTGATGCAGAGGCCACCGAGGAGTGCTGCTTACTGGCTTGCTCCACTTGGCTTGCTCAGCCTGCTTTCTTTTTTTTTCCTTCAGACAACAGATTTTATTTGGTAAATAAAAACTTATTTAAACATTTAATTAAGGTGGCAGCTTACAGTGTCAGAGATGTAGTCCATTATCATCATGGTGGGGAGCATGGGGGTGTGCAGGCAGACATGGTGCTGGAGAGGTAGCTGAGATTTCTACATCTTGTGCAGGGAACAGGAATTGGCTTGAGACAACTGGGTGGTATCTTGAGCATATATGAGACCTCAAAGCCTGCCTCCATAGTGATACACTTCCTCCAACAAGGCCATACCTACTCTAACAAAGCCATATCTCCTAATAGATCCACTCCCTTGGGGGGCATTTCCTTTCTCTTTTTGCATTTATTTTTTTAATTTTTTATATTTTAATTTTTTAAAATATTTTTTTAATTAAGAAATTTTCTACTCACCCTACATACCACCCACAGATCCCACCTCCTTCCTCCTCCCACCCCCCAGCCCTCCCTCCTAAGCCACCTCCCCCATCCCCACATCCTCCAAATCAAGGTCTCCCATGGGGAGTCAGAAGAGCCCAGCACACTGAGCCAAGGCAGGTCCAAACCCCTTCCCGCCACACCAATCAGTCTGCTTTCTTATAGAACCTAGGACTACCAGCTCAGGAATAGCATCACCCACAATGGGCTGGGCCCTCCCCTATAGATCACCAATTAAGAAAATGCTCTATTTACACTGCAGCCGAAGGCTGTGTCTGGGTCTGTGGCCCTACAACAGTTGGGTTCCGTGATGATATCCATGGCTTGAGTTACCACCAAAAGCCTTGTAGCTGCCTGGGGTCTGGGCTGCCACCTGAGGCCACATTGGTGTCCAAGGGCCACACCGTCTTTGCTGTCTTTGGAGGCATGCTCATCTGAGTGGCCTGCACTGACACCCAGGGCCATGGTGACATCTGGACTAGGCTGGAGCTGTGGCTGAGGGGCATGTCTGGGTCTTTGATTCGACTGCAGCCAGGTTCTGTTGTGTTGATGTCTGTGACCAGTGTTACCACTGGGGCCATAGGAGAGCTGGCCCTGCTGGCCTGGTCAGCAGGGAGCTGGTTCCACCCCTCCCTAGCCACCTCAGCAGGAGAGCTGCCCCCCTCCCAGGAGAACTGGTCCCAGTGGAGTAGGTGCAGGAGAGCTAGCCCTGACCCTCGATGGCCCCAGGAGAACTGTCCTCCTTCTTGCCAGCTGCCACTACTGGAAGGCTGGCCATACACTCAGGAGAGCTGACCCCACCCCTCATTATGTGCTCAGAAGAGCTGGCCCCAGTGGTGTGGGCATAGGAGAGCTGGCCAAGACCCTTGCCTGAGGGGGGCAGTCCCAGAGGAGGTCCAGATTGAACAACTCAGCTCCCACCCAGGCCCACATCCAGGGTTTTGACTTGGCCTACCCTAACATCTACCTCATCTATGGCCGGCTGGAGCACATGAAGGGACAGTTCTGTTCAACCATAGCCACAGGATCTCCATGGCAACAGCAGAATATCCCAGAGAAGTTTCAGTGATGGTCCAGTATTGATGATGTATCAGAAGCCAAGGCCTTGAACTAGATCAACAACTCATTGCAATGAACATTCGCAAGTAAAGCTATTTGAGCAAAAGGGTGTGCTGCGTGACACACATCAAAGGCCATCACAACAAATGAATATGTGACGGAGAGGCAGGAAAGACAGAGGGGTGAAGAGTTTTTTTTTCCGTTTTTAATTTTCTTTTGGGTTGGGGGCTACAAGGGTAGAGGGCAGACAAGGGAAGACTGGAAAATGAGTGGGATTGGGGTTCGTGATGTGAAATTCCCAAAGAATCAATAAAAAATTATGTTAATATAAAAAAGAGGAGAGAGCCGGATGGTGGTGGCGCATGCCTTTAATCCCAGCACTCGGGAGGCAGAAGCAGGCGAATCTCTGTGACTTTGAGGCCAGCCTGGGCTACAGAGTGAGATCCAGGACAGTTAGGGCTACATAGAGAAACCCTGTCTCGAAAAACAACAACAATAAAAACAAAACAACAAAAAAAAAGGAGAGCAGAGAGGGGCTGGTATTTGTTGGTACCATTAACCTATTTGGAAAGTTCAGAAGTTGCTGTTTTCCAAGTAAAAGCTTCATTTGAGGCTATGGGAAATGGTTAAAAGTTAAGTGACTGGTTAGAAATTAAGTAGGCGGAACGGAGGCCAAGAAGAAGCAGGTTTTGGTGAACTGATTCTGGAAGGGATTTGAGGGTCAAGTAAAGAGCTGGAAGCGCTTGGCCGCTACCTCTGCCTCTTGTGTGGATCTGCGCACTAGGCAGGGACCAAGTTGAGGGCTGACCTCTAGGCCGCGATCCTCAACTTTAAAGAGCCCGGGATTTGCGTCACCCTGGACATTCCTTTCCTCCAGTCCGAAGGAGGTGAGGGGGCACTTTAGCCTCTCAGGGAACCAAGGTGAGCACAGCACGCCTGGGCGGGGTGCTAAGCTCCGGCTTCTCCCGGAGAGCGAGTTTGGAGGGAGGCGGACACGGTGGGCGGGGCCAGGGTGGGGGTGGGGCCAGACCATTCCGGAAGGAAGTAGTTCCGGGTCTCCTGGACCCGCGGGGGCGGCTGGGTGTTTGCCGGAGCAGGAGGCGGGAGCTGAGCGAAGAGCTAGGCCTGAAGGGACCTGGGGCGGCTGGGGTGTTGAAGGCTTTGGCGACAGCGACGGCTATGGCGGCGACTTCACTGCGGGGTGAGCGGTCCCGGGAGCCGGCGGAGCGTGGAGGCCCCGGCCTGCAAGGGAGGGAGGGTGTGTCCTTCGCCCGGGAGAGGCGGTTCTCACGGTGGCGGGAGGGGCGGCAGGGAAGGAGCGGCGGGCAGGCTCGGCTTCTCCAGGGACCGCGTCCCTTTTCCCCCCACGCTGGGCCAGCGCCTTCCCTCTGCAGCTGTCGCCCGCGCGGCTCAGGCTCCCGGCGTGCGCTTGGCTCTCTGGCGTTTGGTGGCTGTCCCATCGGTGCCTTTCCTGAGCCGCCGCGAGTCGCGGCACCTGCCCACTACCCCAGTCTTCCCCACCACGGCATCGGGCAGGTGGAGGCTCCTTTCTCGGAGTGTCTGTCCTGGGGACCAGGGAGGGGGCGGTGCCCGGGGACTGAGCCCTTGTTCCCCAGGCGGCCTCTGATCCGTCGCCCGCGGGACCGGAGCTCCCGCTTTGTCCGCGAGAGATGCTCTGGTCGCCGTAGCCGAATCTTCCTGGGAGAATGTCGAAGAGTACTGAAGACCGCTATGAGGAATTTAGTCACCTGTGCCACTGTCATGACTGTCCTAGAGACACTTAGCTCGCTAAATATTTTCCTTTTGGGGGGCTTTTTGAGCTACACCTTGAGTGATCGCTTTTCTGGAACAAATTACAAACTACTGGTAGAAAATAGGGCCCGTGAGGCTCCTTGGTCAGGCAACCTTTTAAGCACGTTTTTTTCTTCTGTAGCCCCTGGGATTAGCTAGGCCCTCCCCCATGCCAAGCAAGCACTCCACATAGAGCTGGGTATCTATTGAGACAGTGTCTCATTCAACACGGGCTGGTGTTTAACTCATTCTATAGGTCAGACAGGCTTCGAGCTTTCTAGCCCCCTGCCTTATCCTCCTGAGTAGTTGGTATTCTAGGCCTGCACTGCCAGGCCTGACAAGTTGTAAAAAAGTTTTTCTAGGTGTGAACAGGTCCAAAGTAACTTTAAAAGTCTTTGCTTTAGTTTCATAATGAACCTTGTTTGTTCATTTACGTTGGGGCTTTTTTTTGTTTCTGAGGGTCTTCTAGCCCAGGCTGGTCTTGAACTCACAGTGTACCAAGACTGGCCTTGAATTTCTGATTGCCCTGCCTCTGGCTTCTAAACACTGGGATTACAGTTGTATGCCAGTCATGCCTGCTTTATTTACTCAGTTTCTCATTTAGTCCACTTAAAAAAATACTTTAGTGTTCTTCAAAGTGAACAAGGGATTTGAAGTCATGACTTCTTTGAATTATAATATATCTGATTATCTTGGCCAAATCACTTAACTTTTTCTAAGGTATTTCCTCAACAGTGAACAAGGGGTTATAATGTGTTTGCCTTACCTTTCTTTTAGGGTCATATGAGACATTTATGGAAAGTACATTTCACATACCTTGTCTTATTGCAGTTTTTGCTTTCTTATAAAAATTTTAGAGCACAGAAGCATCTTGAAGCACATAAAAATTTTAAACTAAATTTCTTGGGGCTGGGCAAAATGGCTGTATAGCTGTATAATCATGAGGGCCTGAGTTCAGATCTCTAGTACTTGAATAAAAAGCCAGAGCTGCAGTAGTTACCTCTAACCCCAGTTCTCAGGAGGCACAGACAGGAGGGTCCCTGGGACTTGCTGACCATCCAGTTAAGCTGAAATGGTGAGCTTTGATTGGATGAAAGACTCCTGTCTAAACACATAATTGAGGAAGATGTCTCTTTCAGGTCTCCACATGGTTGCACACATATGAACACGTATACAAGGAAGGATATGCACACACATCACACAAAAAAGTTTTTGAAAGTTGTTTTGGGGCTAGGCATGGATTTCACTTGGTAGAGTACTTGCTTAGAATGTTTGAAGCCATGAGTTCAATTTTCAGCACTCAAAAGTTAGAGACAAAAGATTTCAGATTCAGGGGTGTGTGTGTGTTTCTTGCAGTACTGTGAATAGAGCCCAGGAGTTCCTCTATGCCAGACAATCACTCTACATAATTAGCTGTATCACTAGCCCTCAGTTTTTGATGGTTTGTGTGTGTGTGTGTGTGTGTATGTGTGTGTGTGTGTGTGTGTGTGTGTGTGTATGTGTGTGTGTGTTTGGTTGGTTTTGTTTTTTGTCAAGCAGAATGTCATTGTGGCCCAAGCTTGCCTCAGCTACTGAGTGTTTGGATTACAGGTATGTGGCACCATGTCTGGCTGAAGATCACAAGTTTGAGGGCAGCCTAGGCACTTTATTAAGATCCAGTTTCCCTAGGTGTAGTGGTGCAACCTTTAATCCCAACACTGGGGAGGCAGAGGCAGGCAGATCTCTTTGAGTTGGAGACCAGCCTGGTGTATATAGTGGGTTCCAGGCCAGAGCTATATAGTGAGACCCTGTCTTGAAAAAAACAAACAAACAAACAAAAAACCCAAAAAAGCCAAACAAACACAAACCCAGTTTAAAAAACTTCCATAATACTCTTTGGCCCCATTCCACACTCTTTCAAACTCTCCTTTGAAGTTCATTTTATTCTTCATAGTGTATAACTTGTATATTGAACATAGCTCCTTTGGTAGGGGGGCTTTTCAAGACAGGATTTCTCTGTGTAAACCAGGCTGGCCTTGAACTCACAGAGATCCACCTGCTTCTGCCTCCCAAGTGCTGGGACTAAAGGCATGCACCACCACCGTCTGGCCTTTCATTTGTTTTTTGAGACAGAGTCTCTTTTAGACCATCTTGACTTACTTTTGTAATCCTTTTGCCTCAGCCTCCTTCATGCTGGGATTATGGGATTATAGGCATATGCCACCACACCCTACTCAACTTGTCTTCCTTCCTCCATTCATGCTTTTCTTGTGACAGTGTCTCATACAGTTCAGACTGGTCTCAAACTCAATATGTAGCTGAGCATGACCTAGAATTTTTGATCTTCTGCCTCTGTTTCTTTAAGTATTGGAATTTAAGGCATGTGTGTATCTCACCTGGTTTATAGCAGTGGTTCTCAACCTTCCTAATGCTGTGACCCTTTATTACAGTTCCTCGTGTTGTAGTGACCCCCCACCCCCACCCATAACATTATTTTTGTTGCTACTTTATAACTGTAATTTTGCCACTGTTATGAATTGGGATATAAATATCTATGTTTTTTGATGGTCTTAGGGAACCCCTGTAAACTGGCCACCTGAACAACCCGAAAGGGGTTGTGACCCACAGATTGAGAACCACAGGTTTATGTGGTTCTGGGGACTGAACTTAGGGTTTCATGCTAGGCAAGGACTATACTAAGCTGCATCCCCAGCCTCCTTCCTTTGTTATTTTAAGTGTTTTTTATCTTGTAAATGAACACATATTTATTCTTTAATTTTTACTGATAAATATATTTGCTACAATGAATTTGTGTGTGTGTGTGTGTGTTTATGTCGGTGTTGCATGCATGTCATGGCCAGAGGTTTGATATCAGTTGTCTACCTTGATTGTTGTCTATCTCATTTTTTATATTTTTATTTATTATTATTAGAGTTGGAGGGTGTGCTCGTGCATGTGCTGGGACACATGTGGAGGTCAGAGGACAGTGTTGTGGAATCATTTCTCTTTATCTACCTTTACATGGGTTTGGGGGATCAGACTTATTTTGCCATGCCTGTGTGCCAAGCATCTTTATATACTGAGCCAGCTCATTGTCCTCTGTCTTATTTTTGAGACTGAGTCTTTCACTGAACCTGGAGTTCATTAATTGTGCTAGATTAGCTGACCAGCAAACGCCTCTCCAGCCCAGGGATTACAGTTGTGCGGTAGTACCAGCTTTTATGTAGGTCCTCATACAAGCATGGCAAACATTTTATTGATGGAGTGTTCTTCAGCCTCATAATTTTTAACTGATCGCTGTTTTTAGTGCATCTCATAGGATTTGATTGTTTAGTTTTTGTGTCTGTGTGCACACACACACAAATACACACCCCACTTGAGACAGAGTATTATTCCTCTGTAAACAAGACTGACTTTAGGTGCTCTGTGTAGACCAGGCTGGCCTCAAATTCATAGTTATCCTCCAGCTTCAGCCTCCAAAGTGCTAAGATTATAGGTGTGAGCCACCATGCTTGGCTTCATTGTCATTTTTTTAATTTATTTTTAAATAAACAGCTCTTTATGGCTAGAGAGATGACTCGGCAATTAAGAGCACTTGTTTCTCTTGTAAAGAACTTGGATTCAGTTCCCAGCACCCACATGATTGTTCACAACTATGGAAACTTCAGTTCCGGTTTATCTGATGACCTTTTCTGACCTTAGTGGACACCATATGCACACATGGTGCACATACATACAGGCAGACTAACACTCATACACATGAAGAAAATTTTAAAAAGACTCACCATTTTTACACTTATTTAGTGTATATTTTTGCATGTTCATGCCATGGCATGTATGTGGAAGAGAGAAAGACTTGTAAGCCCCCCTCTCCTTTTTTTCTTTTTTTCTTTTTTTTGGTTTTTTTGAGACAGGATTTCTCTGTGTAGCTTTGCGCCTTTCCTGGATCTCACACTAGCCCTGGCTGGCCTCGAACTCACAGAGATCCGCCTGCCTCTACCTCCCGAGTGCTGGGATTAAAGGCGTGCACCACCACCTCCTGGCTTCCTTTTTTTTTTTTTACATGGGTTCTGGGGATCCAACTTAAGTCTTTGTGCTAAGGTAACATGCTTTCTGTGACTGTTAGAATAATCCATGCTTGATCTCCTCACTTCTACTTTCCCCTTTCCTCTGAGTACTTACTGATCACCCTCTTATTCCTGTGGTCTCTTGTTGCAAAGGCTTTCCTGGGGAATTTTTATTCATTGCATTTGTAAATACTGAATTTGCATTTAGTGTGGAATCTTTTTGCATAATTTACCCATTTTAAGTGTACAGTTCAGTATTTTTAGTATTTTCATACAGTTGTATAAACATTACCATAAGTTTAATTCCAGAATAGTTCTTCACCCAAAAAGCTCTTGTTGGGTGTGGTGGTAGATGCCTGGAATC